GAGCGGATCATCAAACAGGACGGTATAGAGTGACTTCTATCACCTTTTCTTGGAGTGAGTCAAATACAATAGATTGGCACCAAGTCACTTTCTGTCTCCCCCAATTATTTCTGGTATAATATCTCCTCCTTTGAAAACAAACTTTGTGCCACTTGTCGAAGGTTTTCATTGCTTACATACAGATTAAATCCAGATATTTTGCGCACCCAGTACAATTTTCCTCCAATAGCAACAGTGCCTTCAACAACATTTGGTTCATAAGCCAATTATTTTTGGATAGGGTTTTACTTGCGTACAAAAACCCATATGATCTGACTTAACTTCACATGATAATTCCATTAGTACACTGACTTTCATATTGGAAGGAATGTTCACAATGATATATACTGTTCTATCACATGTTGGCCGAACCGGTAAGCTGACATATGTACAAACTCTAGTGCTGTTTCTAAGTTCAAAGTGTCCCTCTATATCAGAGTTTTAAATGGGTTGGTATGGTAACAGACTGACACCATTCCCTTTTGGGGGTATAACATGGAATACAAACTAACTTAAGTTGGCAAATAAAATAACCAAACATGAAATATATGTACATTATAGAGACAGGGCCTTGCTATCTGTTGATGTTGGCTGCTTACCGACATCACTGTCTCAGGACAGTAACCAACATGATCAGTTTCTGTAAACAAAAAACCTTATAACCCTGGATGGCTGTAAATACAAAAGTCAGTTTTGTATCCCAATGCACGTACCTCGGTAGTCTAAGGCCACGACGTGGAAGTCCATTCCTGTCAAAAGTCTGTACAACAGCAGACGATGATCTGCAGCTCTGGAGGGGCAAGAGGTATTCTCAGAATTAGCAAAACAACACTTTCCCAAAATCCAAAACAGGGATGAAACTTTTTGGAACCATTACTCGGTGAAATTGGAATGATTTCAGACGGTGGGAATACAAGTACATCTTATAAGTTGTTTTTAAGGAAACGAAAATGGAGCAGTTTATTTTGTGGAGCAAAAATCTCTCTCGACTACTATGTGTTTGAACAAACATGCACATTAACCCTAACACTCCTCTGTCCTCCAACAGGTGAAGGATTGAGGAGGGTTAGGGTTAACATACATTGTGCATGTACAGTATGCCAAAGGTTGTAGCCCTGTTAAGCACTGATAAGCAGTGTTAACATAAAAGGCTGCAATAAATGCAACATATTTCAGTCTTTTTAACGTGACGTCGATTTGAGTCAGTTCAAATCACACTGAAAGCTGTATACATAGCCGATCCTCTGTCACCAAGTAACTGCTCAAACAATATCAAGCTAATGTTAACATCAGAGAAAATACTTTCTTTTTCAATTCAGTTTAATGTGCATACAGGCAAGTACTGTGTGTAAATCCACTGTGATGTCAAGTGTACATACACAGCACGCATTGAAGACCTCAGGAACTCATTCCAGGGGCAATGAACTGTTGACCATGAGGCCTTGACAGCAGGGAAATGGCCAATGCACGCATCATCAACATGCAACTGTCAGTCAGACACTGCCAATTTGACCCCCAACCAAATTTAGTATCAATTTCACTTTCAAGGACAACTTTTTTTCCCAGGATTTTTCAGGACTATGAGAACCCTGTCAAGTGAGAACTTGTACATACATGTAGCACGCAATGCAGACACCATTGAGTCATCTGAGGATACTCTATGCAGTCTCATTGTAAGTATAACACTTGGAAATACTCAGCCAAGTAACTCTTCTTCTCAAATGGTAATTCTTACGACACTCTGATAGTCTGAAGCCTTTAACTTATTTTGTAATCTTACGTACATTTACCAGCCAATGTCTGGGGTTTCCACACCATTTCACACCTAAACAGTTCAACATTTAGCAGTAAGCCTGGTATGGAAAGTACTTGACAACAGCACAGCTGTGTTACATGCATGGTCAGCTCTTCTGTATGTCACGGTCAGTCACCAGCAAGTGGCTGCTAAAACTATAGTTGACGGTCAGTACAAAAGTAAAATAATCATTCACAAAGTGCTCGAAATCCCACGCAGCTGTCAGAACACCAGATAATAATAGATGGACTACTAAATACTAAATGAAAAAACAACCCTTTTCAAGGACAACTGTACATTTTCAGCGAACTTGGGGTACATAAAACAGGGTTCCTGCACCTAAAGGACAATTGAATTCCATGACTTTTCTATGACCAAATTATGAAAATTTACAACCCAATAATGCAATTTCTTGAACAATTAGGACTTTAAAGTAGCAAATACATGTAGATTCATGCATTTTATGCACTTATTTCTGATGATAGAAATCACACACAGTGTTGGAAAACTTCCACGACTTTTCCATGACTTTAGTCATTTTTCAAAAATTCCATGACTTTTCCAGGCCACAGGAACCCTGATAAAACATCAACAGAAGGGTGATTCTTCCACACATTTTGGCTGTCCATGCTAACTGGAGCCAAAAAATGAGAGTGGTCTTTGCCGGTGCATACACTTTTCTGAGTACGGACCCACTCTCCTGCACCAATGATCACAGAAAAAAAAACACCCCATAAAATAGCAATTTGTGGTATTTTCGATCAATGCACTTGTTACCTGGATCCTGCATTGCCATGGAGATAGAGAATTATCGGTTTGCCATCTCCCAGTGCTGCATCAAATTGACTGTTGTGGTGTATACTGTCAGTTTGAAGGGATCGAGGTAACATTTGCCTAAGGAAAAATGGAAGGAGAAAAAAAGAAAACACAACTGCATTGTTGCTGCTGAAGGTATAATTGGAAACTGCCAAACTGTTGAATTGTCAAGACAGAAGGGTAAATCAAAATATATGTAAAATGTTTACCTCAGGAGATGAAAATTACAGCAAAATACTGGGTTCTGCCCTTCATCAACATATTAAAGGAGGCCAACATGTATACGTACTATACATGGAGAAGGTACATTGTATTTACTCAGTACCAGGAGCTTTGAGAAAAAATCAATAAGAATATACGTACATACATGTACAGTACATACATCCAAGTGGGACTCCAACCCTTCAACTGCTTACAACCGCTGGTGCAAATGTCCTACCCATAATTGCTTGACTGAGCTTAGTTGGCTAGCTGGTTGAATTTGGTGACTTGTCGATTAGAGCGTGGGTTGCTGTCAGCCGGCCATGCAACGTTAGCAAGCACTGTGGTCATGTAGTTCAGTTTGAGAACTACAAGTAACTCAGCAAACTTGTAAATTAGTTATTTCTCACGAACTCTCGGCCAACACTGGGCAAAAAGCAGTGCTTACTGTGTACACAGGCAGGAGGCAAAACAAACTGCTACAAAGCCACAGAAGGTTTAATCCGGTGCAACGTTTAGCAGTTGGTAGTACTGGAACACCTGTGCAACTGTATGTACATTTGTATGTGCACATGTGGCTAAGCTAAAACCTACCTTCATCAAAACAACTACTGTCCAGATTAAAATGTCTGGAAAGCTTACCACAGGCCCAACTGGATGCCGGCGTCATGGGGTATAGTGCCTATGTGAACATTTCTGGCCCCTGTGATGTGCTGCTTCTCGGGGTATTGCAAAGAAGGTGACAGGGGGTTCTTGACTGGTAAGAAACACAAAAACGGTGGGTTGTTAAAGGTGAGTTACTACTAACACAAACGCCTTCTAATTTAAATTGAAGTAGCCACTCAGAAATACATGTACACGTTTGGCACATACATGTACATGTACTGGTACACCAGTGTGTACCAGCTTGGTCATAGCTGTGGCTCTGAGAACTGTTACAGTAAAGTAGTCTTATGAGACAAACCTCAGGCAAGTACAAGCACAAGTAGAGTGCCTGAAGATTTGACATACATGTATGTACGAGCACATTGTATGTAGTGTAAGATCTGACCAACATGTACGGTATGTACTTAGTACGTACATGTAATACCAGTCCAACCATCGGGCTGCACAGAAACATTCCAGTCATCACTGCATGGATTCCCTTCATTGCTTTGAAACAGCCATTATATGCCTGCGTGTTTGTGTACGTGGCATATGAAAACAGGGTAGGAATTTTTGGGGGGGAGGGGAGCTCTTCGTTTGTTCTGATTCAGGGTGCAGCTACATGTAAATGTAATTGGTTAAAAATAACAACAGCCAGACAGGTCAAGTGGCATTCATTTCCAAAGGAATAACTGACACTTTAATTAAAGGGTTCTCAATGTAGTTGCACCCTGGTCATGCTGGTTGAACCTATATGCACTAAATTAAAACTACATGTACACTTCTTTTTTGTTTCCCATTTCACACTTTCCCAAACTTTACTCCCAAATTGTTTTTTTTTGCCCATGCCTGGATAAACCCTCTCAGCATGCTCAGTGAACAACTCAAAATTATCGCTCCTCAGTCTGATGTACCATAATAACTTGGCAAGACGTTGTCCAGATCTGATTAGCTGATGCTCCAGTCATGTCTAATTACTCCAATCATTGGACAGCACATTTAACCCTAACCCCCAAGGGTGTATGTCAAATCGTATTGAAATTGGAGGATTTGGGACTGTTGGGGTTAATTGTTGGTCCAGTGAATAGCAAGCATGTCTTCAGATGACATGTTATGCCCCCCCCCACCGGGTTGCATCCCCACTTCCCCCTTATCGTTTTTGTTCAGTTATCCCCCAAACTGAGACTTTTCTTCCTTTATTATTGTTAAACTGACACAAAATTTAATTACACAGACTGACAGACGAGCCTTTTCCTTTTTTTTTTCTGAATCATGGCTCTGGTGGAATTTTTAAGCTGAAAAAGTCTTAAATTGTAAAATGGTCTGATCCAATCTAATGAATATGCATTCACAACGACTATGTTGGTGCAAAACCAGACCAAGATTTGTCACGGCAAGAATTTCTAGAGCAAAAAAAAAAAAAGTTAAGTGTTACGCATGTGCCCAGCAAAATATCGTTCAGGCCTGGTTGTGTTTGCAGCCAACCGCTACATGTAAATATCCACTGCCTAAATTTCAATCCTTCTTTCGACTTTACTTCAATCCACTGAAATATAAAAATTAATTACTTGTCACTCACCCAGGCAAAGGTAAAGAAACTGCTTAGTTATGAAAGGTACGATAGGGGCTAACACTGGTACCAGAATATATACGCACACACAGCACAACGCTGACGTCTTGACAGCCATCTTCCATGACAGTGGTTTTGACCTGTGGAGCATAAAGTCAACATGTACATGTAACTGCGCACACAATACATGACATACTGTACATGTACATACATACGTGCATGTGTACATAAATCATTACAGGTAGGTCTTCCCTATGTATAAATACACATGACGTTTTGGGTAGTCGTCAGGTCCCTAATTTTGCCACCTTTTGTCAATAAGTCTGGTCGGTTATCACAGTACATGTAGGCCTAGTAACATGCGAGACCACATAATAGCCAGGTCCTTAAGTGTGCCACCTATTGTCAAATCTCATTGGTTTTCACATTAAGTGGTGAAATACATGTAAGGGACCTGGCGACTATACATCACGCACGCACGTTAAGTCACAAAATAAGGCCGGGCTACTCGTACACTGTCATGGGCTTCGGACCATCTACCGGCATGCTAGGACTGAGCATTATGAGATGATGATATAGGCCTACTGCTGTTATGTCCCAACTATAGTTGGGCCAATCCCAACTAGAGTGCTATATTGGCCGGCCCAACTACAGCACAGAGGTCCATTGTGCATGCGTCCAGCATGTGCAATTGCTAGACACGTAAACAGGGCCCAATGAATACTCCTCCATCGTACATGTATACGACAGAAGAGTATTCGTTGGGCCCTGTTTACAGGTCTAGTGCCAATGCTAAAGTCGTATTGTTTACAGTGTCATGTCACAGAAGAAGTGTAATATTTTAGATGAATTGTGTCATATGTAAGATGAATAAACTTGGATGAGGTTGAGAAAATTTCTATAGAAATTGGTCAACTGCTAGCCCCACTAGTGTGGCACGGATTCTCACTCCCCAACTATCCTTAAGGATATATCGGGAGTGATCCGTGCCACACTAGTGGGGCTAGTCAACTGCGGCACTACAGTTGTTCGGGCGTAGCCTAAACGGTAAACACCGCTGGTAGTGGTATCGCTAGCGGTAATCATGTTAAAAAGGCACATGCTTAAGTTATAATAAGCAGGGTCAAGGCAAAGATACCCAAGCTTAAAATTACTTAGGGTACATGTACCTGCCATTGCCAGTAGTACATGGGCTCTTCAAACCCGCGTTCTCTCTCGCCACTGTCGAGACAAGAGGGGGAGATGTACATGTAGCTACATGTGTGCGCAAGCCGGTGCCTTTCCTGCGCACCGTCACGGCCGTGGAGTTGCCGTTGCTAGCCTCACCGTTTGATGTGTTTTTCACAAGATTTCTCCGTTTAGGAGCCATTGTTGACAGTTAAAAAACGACAGATTGTCTGTATCATAGGCATGAGATCCAGGGTGTGTCCCAGCACTATGAGTATAACACCATGGAGATTTAAAAACAGAAATTAGGTGGAAGTGAATCAAATCATCAAATACGCCGGTCGTGCCGCGCCGGCAGGTATATATACAGTACAGTACATCCGGTTAGCTCGGCAGACGTGCACGGACGGTACGGGCGTACTGCTGCAGACCAAAGATAGTAAAGCGCCGTCTTTGCTGCCGATATGCCTGAATAACATTTTCACCGTCGGAGTTGAAGTGCACCCTCACCGGCAGAAGAGGGACAGGCTGATGGGAAATTTTTTCAACTGAGCTCTTGCACGTGTGTTGGTGGTGATATGTACATGTACATAATACTGTATGTACATGTACACTGATAAAATAATGACTCAAAATACGTGTGAGATATTTCCTGGCCAAATTGCTTTATTTCAACTGAAAAATTGAGGGGAAAATATCAATGTGAGACCGAGCGAAGAATTTTGCACGCCAATGTACACGACGACCAAATCGTAAACTTCTATACATGTACTTGTACTTGTATTAATCTCCATTTTGACATGTCTTTCTTATTCATTTACTTATAAATGCTCCAGTTTTCCCATAATCTGTTTTACTCCCTTTCCAGCGATGGCAAAGAGTGAAAAACTCACTCTCATACAAGGGCCAGTGCCCTACAGGGACCTAGATTCATTCCAAAAGAGCGAGAACCACTCCCAAACAGTGAAATATCACTCCAAAAGTGAAGCCATGTGGCGGACAACTCTTTGCAAGTTGTCCCTTATAATGGCTCCCCGGAAGAGTAGAAATTTCATTTTTTTGGAGTGGTTCTCACCCTGTCTGGAGTGGTTTCATAAAGCATTCACTCTTTTTGAGATTGAGTTTTCATTATTTTGTCTTTAGAGTTTGTTTCACATTAATTTTATTGCCGTCCTATTATTGTACGTACGTTTCATTGCATAATATCAGTTTAAACATAAAAGCCAGAAGCACGGAGGATGATACAGCACCCTCGCCTTCACCTCGGGTTACACTAACAGTGGGACAAACCATCTAATAATTACAAAAGAGCGAACTTAAGGACTAGACTAGGGTAAAAACCCCTCTAAATTATGAGTGAACAAGACATAATGTCATTAGAAACTGTAAAGTGTCAATAGAAAGTGATTCCAGATGTGAATTTTACTCGAATACAGTGTACAATATCGAGTCCCAAGTTTCAGTCGGGGGATTTCATTCGAATAAATTCCTAAACATTTATTAACATTAGCGCTACTTACAAATGGGTGAATCATGGTAACCAACGAGTGTGGTCCACTCCAGGAAAACCCGAAATGGGGATCCATTCTCTAAAGGCAAAAAGAGTGAAAAAGTCACTCTATAAGTGTGAGTCCTCTATGAAAACTACTCCAATGGAGTAGAAAACACTCAAAAAAGATTTTAAAATACTCAGAATGAAATCAAGCCAAAAAAGAGCACAATTTCCACGCTTCCAAGGAGCCATGATGACAACTTGAAAAAAAGATCTTCCTTTATAATTGCCAGTTGCGTAACTAGGGATGTTATTATACTATGGAGCACGAACAGATGTCATGCTCTATGGTTAAACTACATCTAATTTAAGTAAAACTTCCCCAGATAAGCACTCAATGAGTGTCGGCCTATTGCGGGATCCAGGTTCACTGAATGCTGGTTGCTGAGTCCATAAAGTGCGTCCAACCGTAACACACGTTGTAAATGCATGTTGTCCTCCACCGCCGCATGGCGCCGCGCTTCGGCGGGTCTAGGGAGGTTGGAGTGCGGCGCGGCTGTAGGCGCACTGAAGTGGATCGGGGCGCACCGAGAAAAATATTTTGGACGTCGACAAAAAAGGTCTGGGGGAAACCGGGAGGTGCACACATTTTAGCACTGCTGTAGCTGCATAACTACGTGTAAGCCTAAATAAAACAACACAACACCTTTGGGTTTATTTGGCATGTAGCTGACGGAACTTCGACAGCGGCCCTGGTCACTTGTGCTTTCTCTTCTGGAATATGAAATTTATGTCAGTCTCTTTATACTGAAGATACATCAGATATCACTATCCATTACATTACTCTAAAATAAGCCGAAGGGTGATATGCAGCGTTGGGCGAGTAATGTGCCTTAACCTTAAAGAGCCGGGTTTTTCTGGCCCATCTCTGCAGCCGGGGGCGGATTCTTCCCCCTAAGAACTTGGCCGTGATCTGTTCAATTTTTTTTTAAACTTGGCCTGCATGAGGCTCCTTATCATTACGAATGATCAACTGTCTCAGAGAGTCAGTGATAGGAGAAGACAGTATTATTAAACGTAATGATTTAACAATAAAAGTCTATTTATCAAAATTCGTTTGAAAAGAATAAAAAGCAGGCACTCGATTTCGTTCATGAGTTCTTTCGGGAAATACGTTCAAATTTCAAAGTAGTCTCGTTCATTCACATTCGTTAAAGGGCTTAAAAAGAGGTTGACTTGGCATTCGATTTAGTCTTGTTTCACTTTTGGGAATTCAAATTCATTCCAGTGATAAGCCCTTTCTGAAACCTGCATGAAATCTGATTTTCCAAGAAAAAAAAGGTTTAACGGTGGATCTTGAAACTGCTTTCTGTCAATGTGACTTCCGCCAAAAATTTTGGTGGCCATTTTCTCACAGAAGAGTGAGCATCGTTGGTTTGGAAAAGCTGATTAACGCTTTCCAGGTAAACAACGCAAAGGACTGTAAACATTCCCCCATTTTGTTTAATGTTTTAACGTTAACCTGAAGTTGTTTCTCCGAACTTTAATTTTATATATACGTATATTTTAAATGGTTGGAATAATCACTATATGAAACACAAAATGAACAGCATCAGCGCACACAACAAAGAGCAATTTCATTCAAGAAATGCTCGTAGTTACGAACAAAAAAATAACGGACATAAGGGAATCGCTCACAATCATCAAAACAATGATTATGGACCAAGAATAATCAACAGAAAGACTTATAATAAAAGATCGACGGCATTAACTTTCCAATACTCCGAAGTTACGAGGTTGAGAAAAACTGGATAACGCTTTCCAGGGCAATAACTCACAGAGACCTGTAAACAATATATTTTTTTCGTTTTTTTATTTTCAAACTGTATAACATTAGTCCAGATTTTGTTTCCCTTTACTTTTGTTTCCTTTCTGTCATGTACATATATTTCTAAATGGTATGAATAATATGAACAGAAATGCTTAACATAAAATGAACAGCATCAGTGAACACAGCAAAGAGTAAAACAGAACTTCCCGACTTGACTCAAGAAATAGGGGTAGATACAAATAAAAACTAAAGGATAAAAAGGAACCATTCACATTCATCAAAACAGTGATTATAGAACAGTAATATTATACACGCCTTACTACAGAAGACCAATGGTGCTAATTAACTTCTCTAATAGTCCTAAACTGAACACTCAGAACGCGAAATACATGTAAATTTGCGATAAACGAAAACGAAAATTATGATCCTATACGCGTCGAAGAGTTTTAACCTGACTACACCCAGGCCTATATGAAATAGACAGGAGAAATTACTCTGAAGAATGGTGATAGAGTAGTCTTGAAAACCCATAAACGAAGTGGAATGATGGAACAAAAATGAACGGCAAAGCTACACACTTGTATGCACGGAAACGAAATTGAATGGCAAACAAGGGAAAAATACCCCCCCCCAACAAACCGAACCGTCGCATTTGTGCAAATGTGAATAGGCTACGTGTTGACGAAACGGAGCGGATTTTCGCTGAAATTGGCAGGGAAAACTTATAATTTTCAAAACAATAGTGCTCAGCTCATCTTAAACCACTTTTAAAAACAAACTCGGTAATTACCTAGACTAACCTACACAGCATAGCTTTGTGTTAAACATGTTGAAATCGAACAAAAAGTGCCATCAAGCAGAGTTTTAGAGTCCATGAAAAAGCTTTAAACAGACGAGTCTTCCGACAACACTTCTTAGTTCAAGTTTTGTTCAGACCAAACAACTTCCAAAATTGAGTTATTTAAAAAAAGTTTATACATGCCTTCTGGATTATGCTATCTTTTGATGCACAATTAATTGTCAGTATGTCAAATTTGTCAGCAATTAAGAAGCTGTTTTCGATCTGTGTTTCCACAAGGGTTCTCTTAGATGTCGTTTCTGGGTCAATCATAAAAATGCATTTCAGCAAGGACCCCTTATATAGGTCGTGTAAAAACGAACTAATTATTCCTAAGGTCGATCATAAAAAATACTGGGGCCAACGGGGACATTATTTATGCAAAATTGTCAACAATGTACAATATACACATTAATAGACATGATTGTGGACTTGTTTCAAGTCTTCAAGACTTAAGTCTTTAGATTTGTTACAGTCTATGATATCAGCAAGTTTAGATCTATAACTCTCACGATCGCCAAACAATGTTCCTGCATTTTGGCACCAAAATGTCCACGAAAAGCACCGGTACGATGAGAAACAGCATAACTCCTAGCAGTATGAAGGTAGCGTCGTAGTGCCCTGTGATATCACGGAGGAGACCTGCGAGGAAAACCAATATTCACACGTTAGGTCTTTTAAAATTGAAAGGGCCGATTAAGATAATAAATTTAATTCAATCTTATCAATTTCGTAATGTGTCCAATGTAACCGCATTGTTATTTTTTACGTTACCAGTGTAAGGATCTTCAAGTGGTGCCGTCGGCGTTTTTATGCTAATGTGATTTGAATATTCATGAGCAAAAAGCAATTCAAGGAGGAAGCGTTAATGTTCATTTAAACAACGATATTTGCAATATTGTTGGTATTTTCTGATCTTAAACTTTCTTTCCATTTATAGATTCTTCGTGGATTCAGTTTATAACTGCAGGTCAGCAACGAGAGTTTTCTCAAAGATTAATGAGGGAACTTTTTAGATGGCTTTACAGAAATCTTCGAACAGAAAGCTTCCTATAGTGAATAGCGTGATATCACAGCAATCACAGTACCAACGTGCTCACTAGTCAAGAAACGCATGGGCCATTTTATCACTTAAAAGTCGCACTTCTCATTAAGTCCTCTTTAATGCATGGAAAATTTTCATATCTTTTAAAGGATGTACAAAATGTACCATGCGTTTCAGAGGAGTGGACAATTGAACAAAACGTGTTCTGAACTTAATATCATGTCACTGGTCCTTACAATGTGTTTAAAAAGATGAGTATAGGTTTTTGAATAATAATTGTCTACACTGAAAGCTGGCATGTGAAAATGACGGCTTGGGCGTTAAGGACGTCGAGTCGTCTCGCACCTTTTCAAAACTTGAATCATTAGACTTGAGAATTTGGATCCATGGTTTCGTTACTAAAGCTGACGTCAGAAGGCGCGAACGACTCGAGGGTGAGGCTACAAAGGCTGTACCTTATGACATTTATTGAGACATCATTCCACAGCACAAGTTTCAAAAGTAAATTTCACGTATATGCATCGTATTTGACCTGCGTAAGAATATCAAATGAAACCAAGTCAAACGAAATGAAAGCCAATGAAATGAACGATGCACGTACATAATAATGTGAGCTAGTCCGGTATTCCAACAGCGCATGCTCAAAATAAAGCGCGTCTGGGGTCATTCGGGCGCTCGTCAAGGTCTGCCCTATCAGAGCGGCACTATGCAGACTTGCACGCGTGTTTTGTTCCCGGATGACCTTGCTTTCTTGGAAGTACCGAACTGACGCAGTGTAGACGTACTCACCAGTTGAAAAGCCAAAAAGGAGTCTGAATATCCCAGAGAAGAGACCCATCCAGCCGAAGGCGCTTGCAGCTCGTTCCCGCCCCTGCGTTTCGATTGCCATACAAACTATGGTTGGATTCAACACAGCCAGGGTTATGCCGTACATCACCACAGCTACGATCATTGCCAAGTAGCTATTGAGCAAGGGATCCAGAAAAAGCGCTGCACTGCCGACGGCGGTCGCCATCGCCGAAACGACTCTGATACCAGCGAATTTCGAGGAGATGAGGATGCCCTGAATGACGCTGAAGATCACGGCCGAACAACCAGCCGAGATGCTAAAGGTTGTCGCAACATATCCTTCGAATCCCTTAGACATGGCGTTGGACACCATGAACGTCATCCAAGAATCGTTTACAAAAGAAAATAGCATATATGCCACGATCAACATCCGCATGTCCAGCCTGGCTAGGAGTTTGACGTCGAGACGATCTGCTATGTGTGCTTTGAGTGCCGCGAAAACATTGGGACTTTCTGTCGTCTGTGAAGAATTAATCGGCTCGTAGCCGCGGTCACTCCCAAGCTTGTGAATTCTGAATCCGGGGTAGTGGCGCAGCAAGGCTCCACACACAATAAGGTTTGAGGAGAGTGCGCCCAGAATGATAAGCGTTCCCTGGATGCCGTAAGTGAAGCGGAGTAGTTCTGCAAACGCTGGGAATACCATCAAACCAATCGGCACGCCCATTGTAACAATGCCTGAAGCCAACGCCAGACGTTCGTTGAAGTAAATTCCAAGATGGACCTTGCAGATGCACATTGTCATTCCAAAGCCGCTCCCTGTAAACAACAACCATTTTAAAGAATACTGTGTTAATCAACATCGCACGCATCTGTTCTTCACAAATAATTGCACTTTTATGCTTACTGAATCTGTTAAACGAAACGTACTATAGCTGTCAACCTAAGTTAGTTTGGATCATTTCATGTTACTCGGGTTGACGTGAAGAAATCTTAGACAAATAAAAAATATGTCAGAATTATTCGATCTGAGCAACATGCCGTGTAGAGTTGTATGTTTTCTTTAAAATAACATGTTGTAAAGTTAAGGAACCCACCCAGTCGCTGAAAAAATCGAACATGAATTCATCAGCCGATTCTAATTGACTTCGGCCTGTAAAGTGCACGCATCATTGATTACAGGCTCCCACTGGATGCACGCTCCAGTTCAGCGTTAAGTTTCGGTTCCACAAACGAACAGCTTGTTTGTTTCACATTGATCAGTGATCCCAAAGCTGGTTCACTCGCAAATGCATCGAGCGGGAAGTACCGATGTCAGTGGACCAACGGCGAATCATGTACTGACCGCGATCTGGATCCACGTGAAACAAAACCAGGCCCAGAGAAGTGCATTGGGTGTGGTTTAAATTGAAAAGACGTCACACTTTACATCAAAGATCTTATGGCGCCAAGATGGGGAACTTTGCAGGCGCCACGACAGGCACGCACACACAGTAACGTTCCCTCTCGAATGGCGCCCATGGTGATAACACCTTTTTTAGCCGAGTTATCCATCTTGCGTAACTACGCGGCGCTATACAATCTTTGTTCCACATAGCTTTCAGTATACTGCTTTTCACGTACCAGTCAGTAGGATGAGTGAAAGGGCAAACTGTAGGAGACTAGTGGACACAGAGGCGAGGAGAAGACCACTTGCTGCTATGACGCCACCGAGAATGGCCACTTTCCTAGAACCGATGAGGACGCTTAGTATACTGCCGAAAACAGCTTCAGAGAGTCAAAAGGCAGGGGTGGGGTTTAAGGTAGATGCAGTTTGAAGTCAACACCAAACGCCTTCAATAGTGTACCACACTGGCAATACAGTTTAATATGTGACCTAACCCAACAACGTCAGAGCTTCTTTTGAATTAAGGTCCTTGGAAAGAACCTTGCAATCTTGCACAACAGGTAGGGTTTCAAGTGTATGTAACTGTATAAGCACATTCACTGCATGCTCAAGTTAACTCCCGTGCACAGGGGAGGGGCCAACAAATCGTCAGTTGTTTGGCACGAATTCAAACAGCTCATCTGCATAATTAGTAAACAGAGCTGAGGGTCAGCAGGGATGAAAGCGAAAAACTAATGATCTTTAATACAGCTTCAATCGTTTATGGTCGCTGCAATGGGGAAAAGAGCCGCTGTTGCTAAGAAAATTGCGCCCTCTCTTGGTCCAGCTCAGGGCCCACAATCCCCTTCAACTTTCTTCTTTCAGCTTTCGGAAGGGAGAAGAGCAGGATGTTTTCAGTGTTGATGGGGTTTGAATCACGAGTAACAACATACATCCCGTTTTCTTCAGTTTACTTCTCCTCCTCAGAAATGTTGACTGTTAAAACGACAATTTGGCAATGTCATAAGTTTTCATGATTGTTATCTTAAATAGAGCAAAGGGTTGGCGTCAGTAATGGTAACAAGAGGACTAAAACCTCTTTTTCATGACTAAGCACAACAAGGTTTCCGGCAGATGTTGCCGAATGAATTGAGCTCTTGGTCATTGTTGCTTTCATAAACTGCTAAAGGTTAGTTCTCCCAGTTTTATTTTTTTTCAACATCTAAGAACCCAGGCAATGTAACTTTTAATGCTGTTTGTATCTTCTCATTCGTGTCCTATTTCTTGATTGATAATTTTGGTGTCATTTCAAGGGCAGGTTGGTACCTTCAATTTTTATGCCAATGTAAATTTAAATATGACCTGAGAAATTATGTGCAAGGTCGTCCAGGGCAGAAACCTCAGTGTTACCAGGGGCTTAAATCCCGGGGAGGGCGTCCCCCCACTATTTGACAAGGCAGATGGGCAAGTGGATCACCCCCCCCCTTCCCTGTTAGAAACTCAGGCAAGTTATTTTTCAACATACATAATGTTTCCAATAAACACTAAAAGAGAAAAAACGGGGAAAAAGCTTTTATACACCATTTTGATCCAAAGTTAAGGGGTGCAGGTATAAACAGCGCTCCCTAGTGTCATGTATTGTCCAGAAATCCCGGGCCCCTGCCCCTAAATTTCCATAGCCGGGCAATTTTTGATTTGTCATCCCTCATTCCAGAGCAAAGATTTACACCACAAATCTGTGTATATCGCCCGATAATTGAAACCAGCAATCATATACAAGTACAGCGCACTTTAAATACGAGAATTTGGTGGAACTTGAATGGTCACATGTCCTGGACATGAAATACACGAATATAACTTCAAAACTTGGAACCTTAGTACGAAAAATTCTATACCTTTATTGAAAAACATAAAGATTACACAGAACTGTACCTGCTATATTATTTGTTGCACAAAATGCAGCCGTTATCCAGCCAAGGGCCAAGGCATCGGTGTGGTAGTAGCTTGTGAGCCATGGAAGCAGTACACCTATCGTCTTGACAAAGCCAGTCCAGAGAATGAAGACGGTGTGACTGCTGGCAACCACCACCCAGCCGTACAAAGGTTCCGTGACTGTCTGTGGCCTGGGGTTTGCCACAAGGGTCGCTCTCTCCCCCATGATCGGACCACTTCCAGCTGTGGGCTTACTATAAAGTGTGTGCGACATACAAAGAGCATTCGTAAATCACTAAATTCGGTATCGTACTAGATATTGTTGAACCCAATTAACAGAATAATGAAGCTTAAACGGGCCCACGATGAATTTTCCTTACACAAACGTTTTTGGTAGCTTTTAATTTTTGGGGGGGAGGGGGTAGAAAATCAGTGTATATACTTTAGGGTAACGCGCATGTAAAAGTGAAATTATTTAAACATTTAAAGTTGTCTATATTTTTTCTGGACACTCCGAGTTTAACTGGACTAAAAGGTGCGTTTCCACGTACTGTATCTTAGGTGCGTTTCCAAGTACATGTACTGTATCTTAAAAAACGAATGCATTGTATAGCCCCTTCAAAATGGCTCCGCGAATAAACTTCAATGTAGGCCTACGGTGACGGAGCGCATTGTCCAAAGTGCGCTCTAAAATCCACACAACATAAAAATGCACAATACACTACCGCGTGTATTACCATAAGACAACTGTTCACACCAAATAAATGCCAATAAACACACCAAATACCACTTGATGACTTTTAAAAGGACGTTTGATACCCGCTCTACTGAGTACATACGAAATGGTCTGTACAAAGTGCATGTACGAAATGGTCAGTACAAAATCAACGGGTATTGGGAGTGTTTTTTTTCATAGAGCTGCACTGAATGCAAAGCTCGTACTGTGGCTCGTACTAGTATGTTGCCGTCCTTCAGATTTTACCCATAACAGTCCCAGATCATCCAATTTCAAAATGGTTTTACATACACCCCAGGGGGTTTTAGGAAACGTTTAGTAAACCTTCCTTTGCAGGGGAGGCTCATTTACAGGTGACTGAAATAACCCCCATTTGCCTCCCATCACTTACCCATTCAAGAGCTACATGGCTTTTGTGTTTTTGCTTTGCCGGAAGCTAGCAGATAAAAAGCCTTACATTAAATTGTACGAAGTGGGCGAGGCAACTGAACTATTCATCTACAGCCGAATTCTAGAGTAGTGGGTTGGAGCTCACCGAATTTACATTACAATAGTAGATAAGCACGGGTGATGTAAAGCTAACCGAATTTCTCGTGTTGTAGAGTGTAGCAGTCTTGAAAGGTTTATTTACACATGCTCAGGGAAAATATTCATGATCATGGTGATCTACAACGGAAGGGTTAACGTTGAAGTTCAACTTTTCAAACGCACGGCCGAGGTCCAACTTTCAAACGTTTGAAAGTTGCAGTATACAAGGTGTTTCGGACACTTCATATTCGAGTGGTTGATTTGCTACATTGTGATAACCATACTGGCTAAATCCACACTGTGGTTCATCTCAAGCCACTTTTGTAACTTTGTTTAGACTTGATGTCACTGGAAAAGCAAAACCCTGAATGTCGTACTTTTTCTGGGAAACACTGGCCACCGTTTTTCAAGCGTTTAGAAAATGTGTTCGGGAAAGCATTTTGCGTCCTGCCCGAAAAACGTTTGTTCAGCAATGCATACACCGCCATAGACTCTGTAAACCATCGCTTAAGTGGAGTAAGGAGGCAACATTATTTTTTGCGTTTGAATTCCGGCTACCATGTCTCTGGGCTGTGAGGGTCGACCAACAGTTGTTTCAACAGCCTAGGAACGAACTTTTTGCTTACAAAATCATACACTACGTACGTACCATACGAAAGCACAATCGACACTCCTAGACCGTACGTAGATCAATATCCGAGGGTCGTTAATGTCCGCCCTGAAGAGATCGCATTCTGTGCAATTTCAGTTCCATTTCAATGGGAAAAACCGCCCACCAGACTCTCTGTCCGCCTGTTCCCATTACATGCCCGTCTGAATTAGTCCTTGGCGGTGCTTGGTGGCACACTGAAACCACAATTAGAAGCAATGTTTCCTGTGGTGCGACAGCTGCCACGCGTGCAGAAAGGCTCCACACGTGATTGGCTCAGCAAACACGTATACATAACGTGAGTGACCTGTTACCTGCACATTTTACGAAATGCGACTAAAATGGTTGGAGGATGGTCCACGATTGGAGCTCCCAAATGAATGAAAGAGTCGATACCAGCAAAAGTAGTTGGGGTACAATACAGTTACAATGCCAAAGGTATAATGAGTTCAATGATCATGCGTGCACTCAGCCTGTAAATAGAGAGCTGAGGTGCAAAATCATGAACATGAAATCATGTTATATCGTTATTGCATAAACAATTATAGGCATTAACAGTGGGAAGTGTTTCAAATGCCCATCACATTTCTTTTAATTTTTTTATTTTATTTTTAACACAGTAAATCGCTTGTAATCTGAATTCTAAAAATGTTATACGTGGGTACCGTAGATCAGTTTAAAATCACTCCCATTGAAACGTAGCATTACAATATCTTTCCTTTTTTTGACCATAGATGGCAAAATATGGCCCCAGGCTCAATGTGTGACTGGCATACATAAACATCTACAACTCGCGGGTTATGCAATTTATTTATTGCACTACTTTCAAACCGCAATTAGTATGCAAATGATTTTTCACTTACAGGTTAGTCTGCGTAATTGATTTTCTCATCCAAGTCGGCTACCGGCAGTAATTGATTTTGTCAGTCGTGATCGCAATGATAGGCCTACATACATGTTATGAAAATGTCTCGCATTTGTTTACATCGGGGTAATTTAAAAAGTCTATACAATGCAGTTTATATTCGCAAAGCCAAAATGTACATTTTGTGCTTCAATCCACCCCATTTTCAAGACTTCCTTTGCTATTTTAACGGGTATTTTGGTGCCTGTTTGGCTTTTTATTCACAGGAACGCTGAGACGTCATTCTAAGAAGACAACCATAATGAAACATGGATTTGTGTGCAGAAATGCAAGGATCTTTTAGATTTTGCTAGACTAAATTTCTTTTTCTTTGGTAATTCTTTAATGTGTCAGTACATGGCAAGAAGCCGACAAGCAACCCAATATCTGAGGTGTTTCCAATGAGTCCATTTTGAGCTCAAAATTTGAACAGAAAAACCTTTTAAAACGAACAGTGCCTCCGCTGACTGAAGCAGATAGAGGTGGTAGCAATTAAGTCAATTTCTGTAAGTCCAAGTCAAGTCACAAACTGATAGTTACAAGTCAAGCCATGAGTCACAAAAACAGCGACTCGATGGAGTCTAACTCAAGTGACTAGAGTCTACAACTCTAGACTGCAGTAACAGTGTCTTCAGTTGCTTAGAAAAGCACAGACAATTTTCCATGTGGTAAAAAGACACACTTTTCGATACACTTAACCCAGAAGAGATATCAAATGTTTCTCGGCCGTAGAAATGGGTTATGAAGTTGCACAGAAAGCGTGCCTATGAAAAACTCATCGCCCAGACTTTCTTAAAGCCTTCTGCTCCGATCTTCAATACAGCAGATGGCTGCACAGTCCGCAATGAAATATATAATTCTTGAGATGACACAGTTGGATCACTTTTTCTTTTTGACAAGGGGGGGCCTACTGAGGTTACACGATTAACGAGTTATATAATTACCCACCACCACATCTCTCTCGAAACGCTTCACATATCAGTAGCTTAATGAACATGATGCAAGAGTACTTTACAAGGACTGCAATAAGACTTTTATTGGCCCTTTTATGTAAATCAGTGTTACAAAACATACATGTATTAAAAACATGCAAAAAAATAATGACACCTGAAGTGTCATTTCAATTGATAGTGGGCTATTGTCCTCAATCGAATACAACTGATATCCCTAGAGCAGAGTTTGTATCCTTTCTGCTGAATCGGTTCCTTTCAAAACCTGCTGCTTCCAACCTAATGTCATACAGATCACCCCTAGGTACTTGTGGACAACAGGTGTTACACATTACTGACTCGACTGAATAACGAGGGTTGTTTTCTGTGGGAAAGAGGATACATTCAGAAAATAAATGAGTAAAATCCGGGTTCCTACAGAAATCTTAAACCTAAATTCCATGGCTTTTCCAGGACTAGATTGACAGTTTCCATGACATTTAATGTCATTTCGCAGGGAAAAGTCGTCTAGTAAGATGAACTAAAAGACCGCCATAGCCACTGCTGTAGAATGACATGTCATAGCATCAACAGCGGCCCATCAAAAATAACCCTTGCATAATCTTGATTTCCATGACTATTTCTCTCCCACAGGACTCCAAGACATCCTGGATCTTTCCCCTATTTTCCGTGACATTTCCATGAGCTTTCCATGGCTTTTCAACAACTTTTTGCCTCAGGATTTTCCATGACCGTGGGAACCCTGAAAATATACCCCTTTTCATTTTCTAACAGAACAGAAACAGCCAGCTAACCCACAAAAGAAAATCGATGCTGATGAGCCTGGAACTAGGGTATTTCTACTTGAAGTCGTCCAATAATTACAGGAACATCCCTGTTGTCATAAGTTCAACAGTTTCCATGAGTTACAGTTTTAGTTCTGGGCACAGTTTTGCCAAAGGCAGATTATGGACCCCAAAATTTGGACAGTTTTTCATGTGTCCTTTTATGGCCTTCCTCAGGGGTGAGGATACATTCTGGGGGCTTTTCACATGCTTTTTGCAGGAAGGGATATGAAATACCAAATAAGGGGGGGGGGGGAATGGCCCTCCTGGACCCGCCCTTGAGATTTGGTAGGGTTTCGATCAGACTGAGCCGAGATGTACCATGCCAAGCAGATGAGGCAAATGGCTTGCAGTGTCTCATTGGGAAGGGTTCAATTTGTGTCAGCGTGTCACATCATGTCCATTGATGGAGTCCAGAAGAGGGTCTTGACCTGTTGCGCTCATGTCTCTTTCCCAAACAGGCTCATGCAGATTCTGTGTTTATTTTCCTTTAACTGGCAAACGGCATCAATTAGCTCCAACTATGCCAACTGTCTGTGGGCAACTCCAATGCCAGACCTTGAGATCTGCCAATATCATGAGTCTGATTCCCTGATGCACCGTCAACTTAACACCCCGTCTCATACTTGATGAGCTGTCTGCTCCACCTTCTTGCGCATTTCCGCCGACTCTAGCTGTTCCAGGGTAAGTAGGGACAGGCCAAGCTGGTCCTCCTGTGATAAGAAAAAAAATGGCAGAAAAATATGACCATCACCATGTTATCTTTGAGAAAATTAGGAGGAAATCGACTAAGAGAATGAACAGATAAAAAGCAAGTTTAGAAAAGGCAGAGTGAGGGACAAAAAATTAGGAGTGACTATTACGGAGACTACGAAATCAACGTTTTAAATTTGACTTTGAGTGTAGTTTTCTTTCTTGTTCAGCCTGTGTTGATTTTAATCACAGAAACAATGACAGGAAATAAAATGTACTCCAAATCATTCCGTCAGCCTGTTGATAAACATACTGATGCAAACCTCTGTCAGTGCCTCAGTGCTCAAGTTCACAATATCCGAATCGCAATCCAGACTCTGCTCAGCAACTATGGGCAAATCTGCAGCTCGTACGTACCCTGCTGAACGGCTGGGCCATGTGTCGCAGGAACCGCTTGCTCATCTGGATCGCCTCATCAGTTGACAGGTTCAGGACGCTGTCCTTCAGGTGTTCCTGGATCCACTTAGGCAGCTTACCCCGCTTGTCGGCTCGGGAAAACCGCTACAAAAAGTTGCATTGGACAGGTGGCTGTAAAAACAAAACGCCCTCACAGACGCAACGTTACGTTGTGCACACTGCAAACCTTTAACCCCTATTAGCACACTGGCACTGCTTAAGTCAACCTGAGGTCCATCTTTAACCTTTGCAAAACTCTAAAAGTTGAACTGCAGTTAAATCTAACGCTCATAATTTATAGGCTTGTAAGCTTTTACAGGCTGCCAAAATAAATAACAGACATCTAAAAATTCAACGTGGGAATAAGTTCTCTTTTTGAGCAGTGTTTTCCCTTAATTCCGAGCTTCTACATTATTCTTAAAAAAAATCCTTGAAAATCTTCAGAAAACAATCTTATCTTAAGCATCTAGTCGGTTTCCCTAGATAGTTTATTATTTGTGTATAAAAACGTGTATCCTCCTTGAGTGATCCCTGTTCACCACTTCCCAGGTTGGATTGTGTATTAAGGCTGGTTCATTCTCCCTATGTATTCACTGTGTACGCAGTGCGAATTAGAAGGTCTATTTTGAGGTGTCTGCAGTGCGTGAATGAAAGCGCAGTGTGTAATGAAAATGCATGCCCTTGCAAGCAGCTTGTGAAAAAAATGGATAGTGCGTATGCACCAAATGTATGCGTATTCTGACAAATTAAAATTTCTTAACTTTTGTCGAATACGTACACACAGCCGAAACTTAAAAAAACATGACAGTATGAACATCAAATGTGGCGTTCACATTACACACTGCATGTGTGCAAACGCAGCGAGTATGAACCAGCTCTTAGGGGTGTGATCCCAGGCTATATGATGTTTCAGGTTTGATGGCTTCTGACTAGCACCCCTGAACAAAGATATGGATAAATGGGAAGAGCGGCCAACCAAGGGCTGGATTGTTCAGTTGGTAGAGCACCGGTACAGTATTCCAGAGGTCCCAGGTTCAAATCCCACTCCAGTCAATTTCTTTGTTTATAATCAATATGGAAGCACATAGTCAGTTCCCCAATGTAGTTTTAAAAAACTCTAGAATGTTACACTGAAGAATGATTGCCAAGTTACCTTATCAGCGAAAATCATGATGCCATAATCTGTCTTCCCTCTTAGGGCACGCCCCACACACTGCAATGAAGCAAATCTAATAAATAGTATCAGTGTTGTCAATAAAAACTTATGAGCTTATGTTGATGCGACATCAAAATACTGATCTTGTAGTCAGATCTACGAGAGAGCCGCAATTTTGCTGGGCAGAGGGACAGTGCATACTTGTCTAATTACACAAATTGTTACTTCTAATGATTGAAATATGAGTAAAAAAACCCAGAGTACTCATGTGAGTTAGGCCAACTAATAACTTGCCAACAGTATTATTCCACAATTAACCTGTTCCACGCAAGGTATCATTTTGGGCCTAAATACAGACTTTTATTAAAATAAACCATACCCACAGTTCTTTCCAAATTTCAATTTTACAAACACTGACTCTGGGTGGTCATTGGTAAGTAAGAACCACAGTTCTTACTGCATCATTACTTCTCCGAAAACCAAGACAATCATTTTCATTGAGAGATACTTGCTAAAATCCCCCTCTGTGGGCCCACAGCTGCCTGAGGGATCTGCACATGCTCAACCTCCATGGCCTAGTTCAAGCCTGTGTGTATACACACACAATGGGAATCACTCAAGTGTGGGGATGAATACAGAGGTCATGGAGATAACACACACAATACCCAGAAGGGACACAAATGTCCTCCATGTTGTGACACAGGAAATTACAACAAATACCGATACTGGTCAGGTTTTTCTAAATAGCGCTTTTAACTACAAGTATACTATAAATCACAGTGCTTCCATTATTAATACTCCTGCTGACTGGCCCAACATTCTAAATACCACCTCAGCTCCCTGGGGAGTATACAGCTCAATACAGCCATTTTGGTGCAAAGCAGCTCAATCAACCACAATAACCATCTCTGTCCTTTATTGGTTGGGAGAAACAATGGGGGACAAAGTGCCTTGCACATGCTCCATGACCCCAGGCCGGATTTGAACCCGCAACCCGCGGTCTTACCCCCAGACTATGAATCCAATGCTCTCTAACCACTTCACAACACTCCATGACACTCTACTGAGCAAGTCTGCATAGCAGCAATATATTTACATGTGCATGCCATCCGCCATACATTGATTGAAAAGCACTCTTTTGACAAAACTGAACCACACAGTGTATAGAGAAACTCAGTTTTGCAAAATTCACACTTCCCCTCACGTAGATCTACTACATGTTCCCACCTTCAACACCCAACACCTTATTCTCAGAGCAGGAAAAGCAAAATTCACACTTCCCCTCACGTAGATCTACTACATGTTCCCATCTTCAACACCCAACACCTTATTCTCAGAGCAGGAAAAGCAATACTAGAAGCACAAACTGAGAGTAAGAAAGGCTTGCTCCATACCTGAGCTGCATGTCGCATGGCATCGAAGGTCAGAAAGTCATTCTCCCGGATCTGAAATTGATCTCGCAGATACTCCAGTCTGGCTTTCAGAATTCGGGATTGCGTATACACATACGGAATGCCAAACATGACTACTGCTCGACCATAATGATGGTCTAAAAAAGGAGCAAGACAGAGACAACAAAACTTTACGCTTTGCAAGAAAAACTTACAAAAATGTACTTCTCTGGGGTTTCAGGGGATTTAAAAATAACTTCAAACACAATGATTTCAACCATTCTTTTGTGTGCTACAAATTACTGTGTTCTCACTGCTTTTAGACAATTTTTTTAAGGGACTCCATAAATCCCTTCCGATGGCAGCTTGGTTGTACTATAAGGTAGCTACCCAAACAGTACAGAGCACTTCCATACAAATTTATTAAAAGCTGAAATGGTTTATGGAATGTGCAATATGACTTCTCTACTAAAAATATACAATGGTCTGATGAGCAGGTCATGAAATTTCTGTGTAAACAAGGTGACTGAATAATAGTTGCCAGTTGTGCACAGATAAATGGTGCTGATTCTGTATGCACCACACGACATATTTGATGATTAGGTTTTCTTGCATGTCTCGTGGATCTCATGAATGGATTTAAAATCGCACACCCATGAACACAGAGATCGTGTGGGTGAAAATAAAAAGTTGATAAAGTTCCCCCTGATTTCCACCAAGCAAGATGTCTTTTTTAGGGCATGTAGCTTAAAACACAGCTCCAGTTATAGATCTCAGTTAAAGATTAAAAAAAATCTTTGAACAGCTTTTGTTGTGATGTAGGAATTGTGAAAATCTGTTAAAAAAGGGCATTTTAAAGATCTCTGGTAGAATCCAAAACCAGTTCAAAATGATTGAACTCATTGACTGCTGACAACACAATTGGATAATTTTTTCTTACCATAAAATAACTGATGCAGGTTTGGGTTTTCCAATTGCCAACTTTGCCAAACTTTTAACTTTCCTAAGAATTTTAGAACATGAAATTTGGTCAAGCCAAACTAAAGATGCATCTGATTGTGTAACAGGTAGAATTTTCATACTTTTGGGCCAAGTGACAAAAAACAATTGTCATTTGCTTGGGTTGTAAGAACAAAGTAGTTTAAAGTCAATTGGCCTTTCCTTTTGTTATACACGAATCAAATAAACCATTTTAAATAAAATTAAAAGCCCTAAAAGTGGCTTGTTTGCAGAGTTTCCTCTAAAATAATATTGATTTTGGGTCTGCCTATGTGTTGATACCAGCAAGTGTTACATGAACTAAGTATACACACAATGGATACTGTGGAGTGGAACATTTTGCTCAAAATCATTAAATGTTCGTTGTCTTTCATATTACATACATGTACACAGCTTCTATTGAATTCAAAATGTATTCTATCTACTTGGCATAAGGTATATTCTACATATGTCTGTTACGGAACATCCTAGCTTGATTTTTCTTTGTTTTTTATTAAGCCAGTGATTTTTCTGCAGTAAAACTTTCTTTTCCAACAGGAAAAGGGAAATCTTTCAGATCAATACATAGTCAATTCTTGAACTGGTATTGTTTTTGGACCAGTTTCTTTTAGCAACGTGTTCCATGATTACTGACAACGTGATTTGGTAATCCTGTGTTCCATTGCCAGTGTTAACATCAAGTTACAAAGTGTAGACTCTAGATAAATTTCCCGTGAATTGTTTCCACAAGCAAAAAATATAAAATTTTTTTCTTAAAAAACTTCAGAATGAAAACATCCCTATGCTCTGTTCAAAGTAGATATAGAATCTATTGTCTTTTTATTTGACTTTATCACTTAACAGACATATTCTTTGGAGATGTTACAGTATCTTGCACACATGTTGAGACCAAATAGATTTCCCAATGAAAAGGAACATTTTTCTGCACAGTAATCAATTAAATATACATTATCTGATCAACCAGTGTTTGTTAGTATAAACACGTCCTGTCTAGTGTTTTGGCATCGTGCCAATTATGAATGTTAGATAAGTAATTGCTAATTCAAAGTTCGTGCATGCAAACAGGATGCACAAACAGTTTAGCGTTGTCACAGGCTTTCAAGAACATGAAATGACTGTCATATTAAATCTGTGATAGAATCTAAACATGTAGATTTAGGGTCATCAATAACTTCATCAGTGTCCAAAAGTGTGACATTTTTGTGTCCCTGTTACACCTGACCAGAGTAATTTGACATCGAAGTATCCCTGAAATTGATTTCCTACTATTTCTATTTATTTGGCAGGTAACTGGTATTAATTCATCACTCTTGGAAATCAGAGAATGTGTTCTGAAGTTACAACATCATACATCAGATGTTACAGGAACGAGAAAAAAATTGGGTCCCTAATTTACAGAATGACCTGTTTGTTGAAGGAGAAAATAAGGATACAAAATTCAATGTGTGAGAATTCTATTACTCCTAAACAAAGCCACAAAGAAGAAAGCTGTTGGGTATTTGAGACGACCATCCCTCAGTGCATTTGGGAGAATAAAACTGTCATATTTCATTTCCGTGTAGATGTACTGAAATGAAAACCTATATGGTGTACTAATGAAGCCTAGTATACAAGCCAAAAGAGCTGTAGTGTTGTATTCTGCTGTGGTACAGTGAATACAGTTAATAAATTACTGTGCAATGTAATGTAAAACCGGGCACAGATGTTAACAGGCCATTAGGTACGTATGCAAGTACACACACAATTAGTGGATATATCATTTACAGTTATAGTTAACAGCAAATGAAGTCATTTAAAGGGTCTCTGCAGTGTAACTGTTTTAATACCAACCTCCAACATGTAAGTGCACCTCCGGGTCTCAGTTAATCTCACTTTCAATTTTTTTGGCACAGTGTTCATGGACATTTTGCTGGCTTTTTTGTTTTTATGTGAATGACTTTTTCTATATTCATGAGCAAAACTGTGATGTCATCTTGGGATGAACACTTTGATATTACATATTGGTTTGTGTGCACAAAAAAACTTGATTTTTTTTTTAAAGACTTTGCTTGCCTAAATTCTTGTTTCTTTGGCAATTTATGCAAAACTGAGCCAGCGACCTTTTCTCAGCAATGCTTTCAGTGCATATATTCTGGGATCTGGGTTCATAACTTGAACAGAAGAACATTGCCACTGAACCATGTTTTCCTTTGATGTCATCATAGCAACAGCGCCCTCAGTTTTCCAGGAAGGCATGGACAATTTTTGAAAGTTTCAAACAGTGCTTTTTTCAATGCATCGAAATTAAAAAGGATGTCAAATAGTTTTCATACAATGGAAGAGTTAAAAAAATGCAGCAAACTTTGTGCCTCTGAAAAAGTATTGCTGCTACCCTTTAGACATCTGAGATGTGGAGTCGTTGACTTGAACAGCTGACCAAGACTTGAGCTGTTATTTTTTTGACTTGAAGTTTGACTTCGAAGGAAATAAACTGACTCGTGACCCGCCTTGACTTGGATAAAAATGGCTTGAGACTAGAGCATTACCAACTTTTCTTGGAATGAATACAAAAAACTTGCATCTAAGATTTTCCATGCAAAAAAAGCGATAACACGATAAAAATGTCCTTTCATTGAAGATACAGTTGCTTGATATATTATGAAAAGAAAATAATAGGCAGGCATATTAGAACTGTTTTGCTTAATTAACATCGTAAGTTACACTGTTGCAGTTGATATGGTGACAATGTAAGAAATTGTTTAAGTACCGTGTTGATTCTGACATCAGAAACACTTGAAAAAATGGCTTGGGACTTGACTTGGAAAACACTGACTGGTGCCTTGACTTGACTTGGGACGACGTGACGTGTGAATGAATTGACATGGGCAAAATTGACTTGGTCACGACAATTCACACACGCATGCAAAACTCTCTATAAATTTACTGCGTTGATCAGCTTTCAAGATATATGCAGTCCTATGCTAATGGAAATCTCGTATCGGGATTGTTGTGGAATAAGAGGGGAAAAAGAACATTCATCTCACCAAAATCAACTCCTTCAGAGACCTTGCCCCTTGCAACAGACAGTAGGACAGCCCCTCTTCCATTCTCACAGGCCTACAATGGAAGGTTCGCACATGTACATGTAAGTGAGGACACCTAGTGAGGCCATTCTTTTTTCTGTGTGGTTAAGAAAACTCAGTTAAAGTACTCGGTTGTCTTGAACTGTGAACACTCTTTTGAGCCAGATTTTTTAAGGATTTCTTTGCCTCTTTCTCTTAGTTTTGCCATGGATAACCCTGACCCCCAAATGCCTCCAAACCTATTTCTCCGAGAGGGGGAACTTTGCGTGGATGTGGGCAAGTCCACACATTTGCACTCCCCGCACTGTGTGGACATCTTTTGTATAGAGGTCCACACAGTGACGGACATCACTATCCTGTAACACCCCACAAGCCAACATTTGGGGCAAAAAGGCATCTTGGTTCTAAGGGAAAAAATACACCTCACCAACATGACAGAAAAAAACTGAACCACTCAAACAGCTAAGGAAACACTTTCATGAAAGTATTGAGCCCCACCCTCCCCGGCAAAGACTCGCATAAATGTGCCACCTGCCTGACCTTGTAATAGTTCTGAAGTGCCACACTGGTCTCTGCTCCATCCTGGGTTTCTATAAATAGCAGCTTGCTCTTCTGGATGTTGTCAATGATCCCCTGTTCATACCAACTGGCAACAATATTCTCCTAGACAGAAAGTGACATACAGGATTATGATAAAATTCACCAAAGCAGTTTAAGACAAAGCTTTAGGAACAGTAAGTTATTTAAGTGGAAAACTTACCCCTCCCCAACAAAATTAAGGAAACGGTCAAACCGAACATTACCCAACTAAAGCTCTAAAAAGTTCCCTAAACAATCTAACCTGCTCCAGCCCATTTCCCATCCAAACCAACACTGCCAGGACCAAATCGGACTCAACCCAACCACACCCTCAATCTCAATCTCTGTCCGCAGCCAAACTTTACAACTCCACCCAAACCAACCTAGCATTAACCGACCCGAGGTAATTCCAGACAGTCCACTGTTAAATCAAACCTGCAATTACAATGTACCGCAATTTTTGGAATATAAGCCGCGGCTTTTGTATTGATTCTCACTCTGAAAAAGTCTCCGCGGCCTAAACACTGGGCGACTTACACAGCAACCTTTGAAGGATAAAAATCAGTCATAAAGCTGTGCATGCCGTGTGCAGGTCATGCAGTCATGTTTTCGTTGCTTACCATTTGCATTCAATAACTCGAACCTCAGGAAATATATCAAATTCAAATTGTCCGGATTTCCAGCTAACAAAAGTGCCTAAGTGGAAATACACACACATATACGTAATCATAACAAACTTTTGGTGATTATTTTCCTGCTTTTTATTCATTCTCATGGTGTGTTTTATAAGCACAAATAATCATCTGCGTTCTTTTTTGCTGTTGTTACCTAAAGGTTTCTTTTCAACCGATAAACAAATAATAACCACTTAAATGGTGTACCTTCATGTAGCAAATTTTTCATCTTGATAATTAGTGGGGACTTCATTTATATTTTAATAGTGGAACTCCTTTGAACTCTGCTTACACTTATGAGGATTGGAACCATTGATGTACATGTACTGTACTGGCACCTCAGCATGAAGCAAGACGACCTTTGTGGTTGGATCATTAGTGCCACAGCGCGGCTTATACACTGACTTTAAATGTGAATTTGCCATTTGTTTTGCGTGATGCAGCAAATACACCGGGCGGCTTATATTCTGAAAATTACGATACTTAAAAAACATAAAAAAGCAAAGGTAAAAACATCAAAAAGCAAAGGTTGAGGGGGTTACTAACTCTAGCCTAAACTTACCCGGCCGAACCACACTGCACCAAAGCAACTATCAATCATCCATCCATGAGTCCCACAGACTACCGGCTTACAGCACCCATGGAAGAAACGCAACAAGATATCGCACTCACCATGTACACATAACTTGTGAAGAAGCACACCAGCCCATCTGGCACTATCTTACACAATTCCACCAGCAGATTGCCATAGTTACGAATTACCGCTGTCCAAACAAATTGTTACCAAATGAAAGGTTACGGAAAGCTTTAAGAGCAAACTTCATGGACACTAAAGCCAAATTATGGAACAAATTTTAGAGACTCAAAGTGTCACACACCAGTACGTGTACAAGTTCTCTTTCCTATGTGGATTTATACTGTATGTCACTGGATCTTATTCCAAAGTTTGCGAATGCTATTATGAACTATTTATCTTTGTGGCAAGATGAAGGCTCACCAATATCTTCCCTGGTCTCAAACTTGGAAGAAATAGTCACTTGGTCGTTGCCCTTTGTCACAATCTGTGCACAAGGAGGAAACACAAAGAATATTTCCTTTCATAAGCAATTCAATATCGACAGATGTTTTGCAAGAGGACCAATTTACCACAACCAAGTGATTCGCATCCTGAATGGCAACTTTTAGGAAAGCTCAAAATGCTGGGGGGTTTTGATTTTAAATTATGCTGCCAACCAGTCATGTAACACCTGGGGCCTTTTCATTGTTTATTTTAGATTTTATTATATTTCCAAATAGGTCACTTGGGAGACATTTTGTGATAAATTTTTCAACATTAGGTCATTAGGGAGACATTTCAATGTCTCCCTAATGCTCCAACTACCAAAAGGGGGAAAATTTTTGAGAGATGATAGATTAGGGTCTGAAAGGAAAATATGCAAAGTTTGGTTAAGATCGGATTAGAGAACATTGAATTATGGGACGGCAAAGTTTTAAAAATTTTTTGCACATTCCCATGGGAATGTCTCCCAAGTGACCCATTTTCGGTAATGATAATATCTGTTGTATATCTTTCTGAATTGTTACACGTACATGTATTTTTGTACACATTCTGTGTGGGTGTAATTTATACAGGGCTATTTTCATTGATTTCTAAATGTGTGTAGACACGGAAAAATAAAAATAATTTGCCAGGGAGGTGACAATAAACAGCACAGTATCCAGTACAGAATAAAGGTGTTTGCACCTGGACAATATCACTGCATGTGAAACCAAATGCAGTGCATCGGACCACAGACTATCCAAGCTTGTACGGCTTGTCCAAACTTACAGTTTTGAGAATGGAATTCTTATTCAGGGTGCGAGTGATCCAAGTTTTTTCCACCTGTTTTTATTTTCACCAAACTTTACATGTAGCGGTGCTACTTTTCTAACTGCCGGGGCCATACATACGCAACATGCACGCGTGAGGCTAGTGCTTACCATTGGACAAATACAGTTTCTGGCAAGGGTCATTGTAAATGATGCCATGGTGACAGGTCTGAAATCCAGAATCTTTGGATACATTTCCAGTGGGGATAAGGTCTGTAGAACGACACAAGAAAATAAACAGTCATGAAATTTATCAATTGTCTATTTAATCCAAGTTTCACAATAACATCACTGCAGTGAATTAAATTTCCCCAAAACATTAGAACAGGTGATTCACCTTTTGAAAAACGTCATACATATGTATAATTTTGGGGGAAGTTAAACCAAGTGACTCATACTTGTTGAGGTAGGTCTTCACACCCTACGTTATAAAACTTTGCTAAATTTTTCCAGGATATGATCAATTTTACGAAACATTTGAGGGAGCAAAATGATTCCCAGCAACCAGGGGCTTGGCTTTTTGACCTAGGGAAATTGAGAGATTCACACAACCCCTTGGTGGTTCACTACTACTGTCCATGACCATAACCGTAGTACCTACCCCTGATGTTATGACAACGGACTGGAATCGATCAAACACAGGCTTGATAGCAATGGAAGCATCCATACAACTGAAGGCAAAATAAAAAAAATCGGGAAAATTCAGGGGTAATATTGGAGGAAAATAAAATATTTACGAAATAATCCCCACAGGTTTTGAGGGCTCAACAGCCGCATAGGGTCTGTGGTATCCATAATCTTTGCCTAAAGGTACTCCTTGAAGCACCTATTTTAGTTTTTTCTATCAACTTTTATACTGTTATGTTACAAAAGAAACACCTTAATGGTAAACTCAGGGTTTCCAAGATTTTAAAAGAGATCTTTGAAAAATCCTGGGATCAGGAAAGTCTTGACAAATCTCATCCCTGAAATTTATTCTTTGGAAGAAAGCCTGAGTTTGTGATACCAAAAACTGTAGCTGAGTTAACTGAAACGTTCAAATGTCCAAAATGTCCTCTATCATCCATTACTTCTTTTTTATTGCATTTTTCCAAAATAAGTTTTGTTCCAAGACTTTCAGCCACCAATGAAAGGGCACAAGCAAGGTAATCCAGCGGGTAACAGACTGACATGCTGCAAGGGATTTTCACAATGTATTCTGTTTTATACAATACCTGCTAAATCTAATTGGTGGATCATTGATCACATGTCATTGAATTATTCGTTGCCGTTCAACAGATCTTTATTCACTTGACTGGTTCCCGCTCCCACTTCATAAATGTCATTTCTCAGCAAAAATGAGAAAAATAATGTAGGCATGGAAACAAGTCTAACATTGCACAGAGCAATGGGCAGTACTTCGGACATGAATCTCTTTCATAAAATGACGGACTTCCATGTAAATGTGCCAGCGGGACCTATTTGTTCTTATATAAACAGAAGATTTATGTAGGTATTGCATAAAACAAATAATAAATGTTTCACACTCAGGCGCAATGGTGTGAATAATTTCATTTGGAGACGGATAAAACGTTCGATCCTACTCAAGCTTCGCCTCCCTTTTTATGGCTTCAATGAGGAATAAATACTGAAGTTGGCAAATAAAAAGAGATCTTACATGTGCATAAAACATAATTGTAATGATGTGGCTTTGTTATCTGGTGATGTTGCTTTTCCTGCTCTCACAACAGTGCCAAACATGATCAGTTTCTGTAAAAAATTTAAACCCAGGATGGCGTTGGCATGAAACTGCCTTGTGCTGTCTTCAACTATGTACTTCTGTTTTCAAATCTCCCAAACAATGCATTCTTTTGTGAAAGATAATCGGGTAGGAAGGCCAATAACTTTATCCATCTAGCTCCACTCTACGAAACCTCAAAGTGCCAGGGAGGATCAACTCACAAAATTCTCTTACAGAAGGCGGTTATTTGTACAAAGACCAGTGCCCTCCAGATGTGAGTTCTTATAAGCACAAGAACATGTTTGTTGATTATACTGCATTACTCTAATAACGTTTCATTTGGGATACATACAAATTACCAACAAATTTTCAGATTTCAATTTCTCAGATGGCATAAATACATACTTTTAATTTTCTCCAGCTCAATTTACACCAGCAAGTAGTAAAACGTACCTGAAATGTAGCACTGGATTTGGAATTGTTGGTGTCTTATCATCAAACGGCTCAATAATCAGGCTAAAACCTGTTTTGAAATGACACACTTAGTTCAAACACTAATGACATACACGTATGTCTGCACAGATAAGTTACACGAAACAAATAAATATAACACACAGCTGAATCAGGGATACACCGTTAACAATTTAAAAAACTGATTGGTTGCCAACTCATATACCGTGCAGGACGGTTGAGAAAATATCATTTGACTTTTACAGCTTTGGATTCAACGTTTCACCAGTGGCACTGCTTAACACTTTATCATAGGGCCTGTTTGTTTCACATGGATCAGGGTCACGATCAGTGATCCCGCCTAATGGATGGAGTGAACCAGCTTTGGGATCGTGATCCACATCCACGTGAAACATACAGTCCAATAGAAACCACGGCCAACACCATCTCAACATTCCCACTTGTTGAAATTAAATACAAGATTTTTCTATTTGAAGAAATATTACTCCTAATAGATAGGACTGTATTTCTCATAGCAAGGAATGGGACTTCCAATTCAAAATAAAGGCAAAAAATGAAGTAAAACAATACGTAGCCACTTCACCTTTGGTATATGTGCTCACTAAGGTTGCAAAGTTGGCTACCAAGGTCAGAGGTGACATCTCCTGGATCTCGGTCAGCTCCAGCGTGCGCAGCAGCGAGTGCAACCTTTCGGCGCAAAACCTGGAGCAAAATGACAGGGAATTAGCACAAACTAGTTCCACTTCAGTAAAGATGACCTTCGACAAATCGTGTTCGAGTGCATTCCTTCCAAATACAGACTCGAGGTGCCAGCCAAGTCAACTGAAAAATAGCAAGGAGCACATCAAGCAAATCGGGAGGGAGGTATCTCCTCCTAATTCCCTGGCACTACGGTTTGCGGTTTGTTAGGAATCATCTTCGAACAAAAGGCTGAGTGCGGCCAGAGGATAACTAAAAATCACAGTTCTTAAGACACGCTGGCCAGTTGTGTGTACATGTGCATGTGTAAGTGTCTCACACTCATCCACACAACCATCCTCATGATAAGAGTGACATCTGATACCAAGACACTGCAGAGTTATTTGCAATGACTACAGCTGGGAAAGTCCAAAATTTTGCGCACGTGATGTCCCATACATAAATGACGTTGTACCCTCGGGGATGTTCACAGATTAGTGCTTTTTATGTCACCACCGGGCATCTGGATGGAAAATACCCACAAGTGGATACATTACTAAGAACATCTCTTTGTGATGATTGTGTAATCAAACAAAATGAGACATTACACCTGGGCATAAAATGGGGCCTTTTTGTGGGCTTACCCAGCGGTCAAACACATCTAATTCAGTGTCTCAGGCGTGCAGTTGCTTCTAGCTGTTCCATAATTCATACTATTGATCTAAAAAAATACTTAGGTTCTTGTGGCCCTGGTACACCAGTCTGGACCGGGTGTAACTTCAATTTCACCTGAGGGGCTTTCTCTCAATGCAGACTTTTCCGTAGACATCCTTCAGGAAGGCAGGGGGACTCTCAGCTACAACGTGCTGCACTCGTAGCCTGGTCTTTAGGTACTCTACGAATCTCTTCATGAAGGCGATGAAATGTTCGGCATGACGGATATTACCTGGCACGGCCTCTGGTTAGGACAAAATGGAAGATGTGCCGTAAACAACATCTACCACTGACCACACTGCTCTGTGGTACTATTGTGTCGAAGTTCATCAGATTGGGTTCTAGTGCATGTATATTTCTGAAGTAGCATACTGCAGCCAAATTCAAATGACATTCATCCCTCCCAAGAACAGAAGTAATGATCAAAATGCCTCTGTATTCAATTTAAAATAAACAATCTGGCTTATAATGTTGCGCACAGTGATAGGGTCTTTGCCCACTTGCAATACATGTAGGTGCAGTATTGATCGGCTGCAAGTACCGACAATGGCTGACCTTCCAACACAGCATCAGGAAGTACTGGGTTTGCCATCTGTATGTCCATCTCCCGAGCCTGGCTAGCGTCTCTAAGGCCCTCAACAAGTCTCTGGTACTCCTCCTGAAGTCGCTGTGCATCTGTTTCTTTGATTCTAAAAGTAACAAGAATAATTATCCAGGTTGATCACAGAGAAGAACTCAGGTGCCCCCTTGTTCAAATGTTCAAACATTTTGAAACTTAGCATGCAGGCAAAGAAAGTCATAAGTCCAAGTTTCAATTTGAATGGTGTCAATAAAGATGTTCCATAATGAGCTGGAGACTGGTCTGGGCACTGCGCTGTGCCACATGTAGAGGGCGGACAGCTGACTTGAAAAATGCACCGTGGGGCGCCACTGTGGCTGGCAGCGTGCCGATTAAAATCTTTTTGACATCGTGCTTTGCGAAAACACTCCTTATTACGGCTCTGTGAGTGAACAAATGGCAAATGCAACGACATTGGAGAAATTTTGAGGGGGGGTGGGTTAACATCACTTTTAGGGTTAGAATGCCACCCTCCTATCCAGTAACTTACTACAAATACAGTAACTGTGCACTGTTGGTCACAGTGCAGTGCTGCTACAAATAGCTAACGTAATTCATATTTGAACTGGAACAGACTTTGGGAAGATTTTGGGAAAGTAATCGCCGACTCTCACCTGTCAATGTTTCTCTTGATAGCATCCAGGTTGTTCTGACTCTTTTCCAAGGTTCGCCGTGTGATGTGCACACTCAGGGAATCGATGCACACGTTATCTGTGGAGAAATCAATGCACCTGATGAGGAACACACAAACTAAAAAATGAGAGGTGTGTCTGTCCCATGAACACATGGCATCAGTACATGTACGTGTATATCTCACCAATGTTATGCGCTTCATCAAATACAACCACCGACTTCTTGGAGAGCTCTTTGGAGACCAACTCTGCAATCTTTGGGTCCAGTAGATAGTGATAACTGTACACTATGATGTTGGCATGGTATATCTGAAAAAGCAATTCAAGAAGGCATAGTGATGACTTGTTCTACCGACTCGTCTCCACGGATAAAAAAGGAAAATCCTTTGAAGGGCTTGCTGATGGTGTGTTTTTGAATGAAATAATTTTGTTTTCAAAAAGGCAAGATTATTACTTTTGATATACAGCCAAATGCCACAAACACTGATTCGCAAGACTCATTTGAATAGTATCCGTACAATATTTCTCACCATAACCTGATGTTTTTGAGCACTACAGGTCGCACTCATTTAGAGCGATATTTGCTACTACAATAAACCATGCGCAGCAGTCAAGTTCCAGTCCAACATTAAGTCTGCCTCAAAAGACTTCCAGGACCTTTGGGGATTAACGTGTTTGGAGTGTTTGGAGATCAGCCAGAACTGACTTACATGTACTAGGCATACTAGACATCGTCAGCATTGTCTGTGTATATGGACAGCCAGATAGCATTTACAGTGTGCTTGACATTTGCACCAGGGGATGTCCAAACCTGAAACCATTTTCCGTGACAGTTGACACAGAGGACTTGTACAGACACAGCCGGTAATGTTCCTGTATACATGAGCCATCACTCCTAAGCAGTTCTTATTTGTTTTGCACAGAGAGAGAGGGACTGAGTGTACAGGAGCTCACTCTGTGTGGTACCCGCACTCCTCCCTATGCCACTGCAGGTTGGAATAGCAAATATCATTTCACGCATTGCCTTTGAGTGCAGAAGAGAAGTGGTTACGGTAAGAAATGTCGTACAAATCTTAAAAACTCAGCATTTGTGTTACGGTGTATCCCACTTAGTTATGAAACAGAGCTGCGGTATCTCGCTAACCAAAAGCTGTGTAATAATAACATCTGAGAGTGGTAAAATGTCTGCTTTACTATGGCCCAGCTTGTTTCACGCAGATCTGGATCGCGATCGGTGATCCGTGGTTGGTTCACAAAACCTGCCTAATGGATGGAGTGAACCAGTGATGGGATCACTGATCTGGATTCAGATCCGTATGAAACAAACAGGCAACATATTCTGATGATCTGTTTTTCGTCATACTCACCGCATGCCGAGCCATGAAGTACGGACACCATCCGTTCTGCTGACCAGCTTCCTTGATATCATCTAGACTGTAGGCACCGGCGGCTAATGGAATATCTCTTCCATGGGCATCAAATTCCTGCGCAGCAAGCGAACATACAAACCAAAATAAGGAAGAACAGGGCTAGAGCAAAAAAAAAAAGAAAAACGGAGTTAATACTGTGAGAGCTGTGATTGAGAATGTCCATTCAATATGGTGAAGAAGAGGATGACATTTTAAAAAAGTTTCCAGCTTTCAAGCCAAATTGCTGGCACACAATGATCTGAAACATTCCTGTCACTTATGTTTGTTAGTCCCACAAGTTGTGTCAGACCCGTCTTGGATCACAGCGCGTTTCAAGGTACATAACCTATCTGAAACTCAGGTGAAGAGGTTAGAACATATCCTTCCAAAGTGTGTCACATTACACTTGGGGTTGGTGCTAACCTGAATTAAAAACCACCAATCAGCACACATGTACGACAAACTCCCCAGCTGGTGAAAGGTTTGCTTCAGTTCTGAACTTTGGACAGAGAAAAAGATTGGTTTTGAAACCATCAAAATAATCAAAGCAAATTATGTGTATTGATATGTGTAGTACAAACCTCAAAGAAGGAACACACCGGAATGGTGGGGTCATACTTCTGCCTCTCTCGGACGAAGGATGCTGTTAGCTCGTGGCATTTGTGGTCCACCACCTTGCCTGTGTGCTCTTTGCTTACCTGTGAACGGGGCAGAGTTGTAATGACTCAATGACTCAACTCAAGTCCGACTTGAGTCACAATTTTTGGCACTCGACTCGACTCCTGATAGGTAAATGACTCAACTCGAGTCACAAAATTTAGTGACTCGTTACAACAATGGAGTGGGGCAGGGGTTGGAATGTATGTACAACATAATCACTGGGGTGACTGATGACGTACATGTACGTGGAAATGAGCACGCGACCTGTCCAGAAATGTGCATGCCACTGTGTCCTACACAGAACACCGAGTTTTTCAACCAGTTTAAAATGAGGCACACTAGCTGAAGGTGAAAACAAGCATGCTGGAATTGTGCTGGAGGCAACAGTTCCAAAGTCTGCATCACCTCAACAGGGAACTAAAAGTATTCAATATTATCCAAAACATTGGGTGTAGAACCAAGATATTTAATAAGGAACAATCAGCAAGGATTCAATGTACATGTATGTATACTACATTGTTGGAGAGAACAAAAGGTTCATTTTATGCAAGACTTTTCCACGAACTGTAGCTAATGACTAGCAATGAATTAGAATCATTGTATGGGGTGCTTGGAGTATAATGTCACTGGTCGAGCTCGTCCACATACATGTAGATGGTCTGAAAATAAGCATGTCACCCAGGTAGACCTCCCAATAGATCACACGGTGTCCACACACAGAGACCCTGCACTAACTACCATTCGTGTCAGGCAGGATCTTCTGCAGTTATTGGAGGTTACTGCAATGTTTTTAATTCTTGCACTACAATTTTGAACCATTTGTCATTTTGACGATTTTACACAATATAACAAAAAAATTACTGACTGCTGGCTTTTTTAATTAAAACCCTCTCAGGCATATAGCACTCAGGGCTCTAAGCAACCCTCGGGTGTCAAAAATGGCACTACTACATCAAAGCAGTCAACTTCTGTCATGTTCCTGAACCCTAACCTGTGGATGGATGCACATGTTCTTCCGGGAGCTCAGGACCAGTCCAAGGAGGTTGGCTGCTTCACCGGTCTCCTTCTCATAGTATTCTATCAGTCCTTTCAACTCTTCGAGGACCTGGAAGGACAAATTTCTCCTTTAAAAAAAAAACCATCTTGTCATTCTTCTAAGTTGAGCCCAACAGCAGCAGTTCTCAATATGGTGTATCTCCCATGCTTATCCAGCAAAGTGTCTAGCCCACACACAAGCATCTTTAACACGTTGACTGCCACGCATAATTTCAAAGGGACGTTCCCATTTGCCAAGCGTTGTACCATGCCTGCATATTTAACAGGTACCTTTCACATGTCTATTTTACGTATGTACGCCCTCCACATTGTCAGCAGCGTATTCCTTGTGTTTTCATTGATGCCAGTGTATTCAATTTACATTACAATAGCCTTTCATTTCCTACAAGTATACTCGTAGTGGCAGAATCCAGTACACCTGTGAAAACGTGTGTATTCGTAGTCAGCAGTCAACATGTTAATTGCTCAAAGCTACAAGGATTACAGTGGGCTAGTGAACTGATGGACTTAGCAAACAGACAAGATTACTTCAATGACTTAATAGGCTTCCCATACATGTACATGTACTTTGACAAAACGGAGGGGTTTTAAGATCACTAAGTACAAGTAACATAACCAGCTAGTCAACTTTTGCCTACAATGTGGTGCGCAGTCTTTGATTTGTGCTCTGCATGCGGCTCTACTCACGCTTCCACATTCCTCTTTTCAAAGTGGGGACTATTGTGAAGCTGGTGATTATGATGCACATTCGGTCTTTTCATTTCTGGGCTACACACAAAGACCAATTACCATATATACAACAGCCAGGGTCTGCCTTCTTTCACCGTGTTCGCTGAGGGCCGAGAATACAAGCTGAAAAGCGGGCTGAAGATCTCAATTTTTACGGCGTGTCTAGCCGCCTCCCGGCGCGAAGGGGTACATACCAGAGCACCAGTGAGACAGGCTTCAATACGTCAAGAGACAAGGCCAATAGTAACCCAAGTATCTGAAGTGTGCCAGCCATATATGTGAATATTGACTGCTGTTGACCATCAAAATGCATCAGGGTCCTGCAGATATACAGTATATGTACAGCTCCCGCATGACCCGAATGGACCCTCAAAACTGCCAAATGTCCCCCCCCCCAACTGGATGGCTCTGCAACTGCTGTCTTTTGCCTGTTCCTACCTTCTCAATCTCCGGCACTGTTCGCGAGCAGTAGATGAGCTTGGTGAGATCGGAAGAGTTGGCTCTCAAGTAGGCCACAATGAGGGATAAAAGCGATACAGTCTTCCCCGTCCCCGAGGGCATTTCAAGGACACAGTGACCCTGGTAAAAGGGGGGAAAACAATGGAATCATGAACTTATGCCATCCTGTACTTTTCAGGTAATTATTTTAGAGAGACATAATGATGCTACCGTCAACGTCTAAAGTCATCTTTGGTTTTTCTCATCTCCTGTCTTCATGAGTCCAATCGACCGGTATAGACATTGAGGAGGGGAATGTTCCCCTGGATAAAAATTTGGAAACTAAAAAAGGCAATGAAAAAACAGATGAAGGATGGAAATCACCAATTTATTTGACAAACTCTCAACTTGATTCCCTCCCACAGCTGACTGTCAGCAGTTCTTTGCCAATTAACATGATTAACGCATCCCCAACCCCAGACTTCTTGAAATTTTACCCAAGGAAAAAAAAAGTGGTTTGCACCTCCCCACCCCCCCCCAATACCAATCCTGGCAACATCTATGATTCAATCGATTCTGGCTTGTACATGAACATGTACACCATCCACATGCACCCAGGATATGCCTCTATGTTCAAACCCCACGAGAGACAACAAGGGCCGGGAATGGTTGGCTGAATGCAGTTCTCCAAACCACATCAAAACCCAAACATGTGTTACTTGGCCAGTTTGGAAATGGTACACATACATGTATACATAAACGCTTTGAAAACCAGCAACAAAATCTTGACACACATTATGTACGCTACCTTTGAAGCCATACATGTACATGTAAGTTGGGAGAAATACCGGTACGGGTACATGTACATGTATCGGTACTTATGTACATACACTGTACATGTATGATGCATGATGTATTGTAAGGCAAAGGGGGACCCCCATTGTGTCTTCTTTTGCATTGATGGAATCTTTGGAATTCCTTTCAGATTTCCGAGGAGGGGTGCAGTAGGCAAATAGGGTATACAGCTTGTGCATCACATTAGGGGGAGTTATTAGGAACAATATTCCAATCATGTCAGTCAATATTTGTCAAATAGCTTGGGCAATTGCCACAGAACACCTTTCCTCTTTAGTCATTTCTCTCAAGAGAGAGCTCAAGGGAGGGCTACAGCTCTGTCCCCAAAGCAATCAGCTTCAAAACTAAAGGGATGCCCACGGATGGATTTACCTTTGCATCCAGAGCTCTTTTGAGCTCCAGCATGTAGGTGTATTGCTCAGGATAGATGTAGTCATATGGAAAGTAAACGAGCAGACCATCAACATTTAACCTAACAAATAAAACAAAACAAAGACTGAGGTAACAAATAATCTAAGCCCAGGGATAAATGAAGGGAAGAGCTCCACATATGGACGCCAGTAATTATTCCCTACAGTGACCTAATAGCCATCAGGAAGCTAAAATATGTCCAGAAAAGTTCAAGGGTAAAAATGGCGCCAGATGGAGAACTTCACCGTAAAAATACGTAAAACGTTGTAATCGCATGGGCGCCATTTGACCAAGCGATACGCATGCGCAATGCACAGGCGCAGGCGCTGCGGCAGGCACGTACACCTGGTGAACCTGCGCCTAAGCATTACCGTAAACCGCGCAGGCGTATCGCTTGCTCACATGGTGCCCATGGATGGAATTAAACCTTTTGGGCAGAGTCATCCATTTTGCGCCTTCGGCGCTATGATCTTGGTAAAAACCAAGTTGTTTACTTAGAAAACACTCAGAATTTTCAGACCAGTCCCATGGGGTTTGTTCATAGGGTGTCAATGGGCATCCATAAATGAAACTCTTTCTTAAAATGAATATTTACAACTTGGTGTACAGGTACGAAAATCCATTTTCAAAGGAACTGCGCATGTTGTCCACTAAAAATGATGTGCGTATTTTTCACGTGGCTCTAGATTTGTGGCAGTAGCCTGGGTGCCTGGACTTAGCAGTCATGTAAAATCATCACTTCACAGTTCAAAGCCCTCACCCAAACCCTGTTTAGTTCAACCAGCTTCTCATTTCAAAAGAGCTGAATCTTTGCTATGACAAGATGTACAAGTATGGCTATTTGTCTGATTTGTAAAAATCTTCCAGTTCTGGAAGTACTATAGCCTAACTGAACATGCACGATTTTTCTTGCAAGCCATGATGGTTAATGTTCCACTGGGTGGAAATTCTGGGATCCCATTCCCTCTGAAGCATGACAATGGAGATCAATGGAGAAGTCTCCAAGTGTTTCCATTACGTTAATTTGTTAGCTAGGTAATATCTGTGCTTGTGTAACATTAAAATATTGCGAGTGCAAATTCGAATTTGTGCACTTTCAAAGATTGCACTCAACTGCGCCACTTGTGCAGATTTGCAGTAGGAGTTTGTCTGTCATGTCTGTCGTTCTTTCCAATCAGAGCAGTGCATTTATACGTGCGTGTACAAGTGGCGAATGAACCACTACTGTTAAGTTAACAATGTTAGTGACAAGTATGATATTAGCAGGTGTGAGAGCGCAGCCGGAAGAGGAAAATCCCAGGACATACATGTACATGTACGTGTAGGTCTATATTGCCAGAGTTCAACTTCAAGGGAACACCTGCCATGTCTGCATTACCCATGAGACATGACAAAAGCAATTTTACACCCCAAATATAGTTCAGTCTCAACTGTAGTGCTGCAGTTGGGCTGGCCCAACTATTGTTGGCCAATTTCTGTAGAAAATTTCTCAACCAATATCAAAGGCTGCATCCACATCTGTTGTCTAGAGCTAGGTCTAGGTCTTCCATCTATTGCAAATGTGCGCAGACACGGAAACAATAGACCTAGCCACAGCTCGGGAAACCCATTTCGGACATGGCCTTTGTTTATGCATCTCATACTTGACACAATTCAATCTAAAATATAGCCCTTCATCTATGACATGACATTGTAAACAACATGACTTTGGCACATGCTGGGCACAGGCACACTGCACAGTCTCTGTGCTGTAGTTGGGCCGACCCAACTAACGTTACAGCACTACTTGGGACAGTCTAAACTACAGTTCGTATTGATGCTATAGTAATGATGGGCCTAGTTGGGGCATAACAGCCTACACAATAATGTTGGCAAAGTAGGTCTCGCATGACTAATGTTACTTTGAGAACTCAAGACACTTCTCCGCCATACTCAGTGTACATGGTGTTGTAACGCTATGGCTTTTTGGAATCGAACCTGATAGTTGAATGATTCACAGATGGAACAAAGTTATTAAATCAAATCTGAATAACCTATGGCTCTTAAAGGGGATGAACAAGGTTTCAGAGCATGAGACCAAGTACTTTTTGAAAAAAATGAGAAGTTTACATGTATGTTTATCAGATTGCGCATGCATCAAGCCCACCAACAGCTGCACCCATTGTTCGACCATTTTCAGTGGTGGTGGATTTTAAGTCTTTAATCAGTCACAGTTACACAGCACAGTGCATGTCACGCGTCGTGTCCTGATGGCATGTTGGGTACCCAATGAGAACGTGTTGAGATGCTAACCCCCGCCACCAAAAATAATGGTCTAAGCAAGATGTGGAGTGGGTGCAGTTTTTTTTTTTAAATAATGGGTCTCATGCTCTGAAATCTTGTTCACCCCTTTTTTAAGACCCATAGATTACTCAGATTTGCTGCCAGGGGAAAATTTGATTTAATACTTATAATAGCTTTTTTTCCACCGGTGAATCATTCAGGTACATGATGTACGTGTATCAAGTTCATTTCTAAAAACGTTACCATTGGCCATGTTGGCTCGATCGAACTTCGATTCAAAGTCACACAGAGTAATAGTGACTCTGAGTTCTCAAAGTAGATTAAAGTTAAGTTTAAGTTGTAGCCCACCAGGTCTAGACTCAGCCACTTACTTCATCACTGATCATAACATCGTTCACTTGAATCACACAATTCCAAAAAGTCACGATATATCCTGTGTGTCGCACGTGTACTGACCTGAAACAAGAACAGATTATATTTACATTGCTGGCGCCCTCTAGCAGAGCAGCGGTGCTAGTAGACCAAAAGAAGAGGGAGCTGCAGTAGTACCTGCCGAGTCAGACTGAACTTGTTCCAGCTTTGGTCAGTCAGTCAAACAGTCATTCTTTATTTCCACCTAATTATATGTCGTAAAGATACAACAGGAAGGGGAATGGTTGTGGATGGGGTCCCACAGAAGCAGTGCTTGTCGAGTAGGAATCCCATTAAAAATGATACACATAATTACGAACAATACAATTATGACATACAATTAGACAAGAAGACAGTAAGACACGTAAACACTGAGTCTTGTAACCCTGTAAGACACAAAACTAAATGATGTTAGATATAATTTGAATACCCACTTAATTACGTTCAGTGAAAGTTTGTAGGTTCCCTACTGTCATCAGCAAATGAAATGAAGGTAAACAAGTCAAAAGATTTAACAAAGTCATCTATATAGATGGAAAATAAAAGTGGCCCCAGAATGAATCCTTGCGGAACTTACTCCGTGAGAAACTGTACTGACAGAGGACTGAGTACCATTAACAGATACGAATTGCTGACGATTTGAAAGGTAACTCCTGCACCACTGCAAGGCTGTTCCTCTAATGCCATAATAGGCAAGTTTGTTTAGAAGTATATTATGATTGACTGTATCAAAGGCCTTGGAGATGTCCAGGAATAAACCAATTGTAACGGAGGATGCATCATCTAAATTATTAGTTATTTTATCAATTAGGTGAATAACAGCATGTAAAGTTGAATGGTTTTCACGGAATCCAAATTGAGAATTGTTGGTTACGCGTTTTCGTGACTTCGGTTTCGCCTGTGTACTGTCATTGTTCCCACCAAACGAGAACCGTATAGGTTGGAGTTGGCTAAGCGCCGGTTCAAAATGGCGGAAAATGTAGATAGTATTTGTCACCCTTCAAATGTGTGAACAAGTTCATTTCAAAATTTTTACATGCAGTGAACCATATATTCTTTTGGAACTTACGTGAAAAGAGAGAGAGAGAGAGAGAGAGCGAGCGAGCGAGCGAGCGCACTGTTCGCATGTCGAATATTGAGTGAAGATGGTCTTTTAATCCATTTTTATCCCTTTGCATGTTTTGTGATATCATGTATTAGTGAATTGCTCGTCAATGTAGTGAATTTGTGGCGATTTTTAAACATTTTCTATCTACGGTGCAATCGAACCCGTTACACGTCGGCCATCTTTAAATTCCACGGCTCAATCTGTATTGGACTCTACATATAGTACAACTACGACCGTGGCACCCACCACCGAGATCATGTCCAGTGTCNACTACGGGACCGTGACTGATTGATTCATATTTACCATGAAGCCTGCCATTACTTACTTTGTGATTAGATTTTCTGCTCACTCTTGCCCAAATTGGTGATAGGGTCTACAAGACTGTGAGACTCTAAAACTCAAAGAGACTGTTATGGATTCATATCTTGATTACTGGTCTTTGTAACGATGTAAATCCTAAACCTAATCCTCCACTGAACCTCTCGTGTGATGATACTACAGCACCGTGTGGAGTTTGTGGTGATGAAGTACGTTACTCCCCTGTTAAAGGTATCCAATGCAAAGAGTGTGAGAAATGGAATCATGCAGCTTGTGTCAACAGGAGTAGCAAAATAATAATATAATATGTATTATCATCTTGCTAATACCAGCACCGTTTGGATTTGTGACGGATGTGGACATCCTAATTTCTCTGACTCGTTACCCAGTATTGTCACAGATTTTGAAACTGTAAAGTTAAACCTTTTAGTCCATTAGAATCTGATCAATCTGTAAGTTATGATCAACCGCTTCCTGCTTCTTCTCCAAAGCCCTGCAGAGCCAAGAAATTGGGTTCCGTTCATGGTAAAGACAGGGACAACAAGCTAAGAAGCCGGTCAGAGCTAAGACACCGTTATCAACATAAACTTCCAGAGTCTGAAAAATAAAACTACAGAACTACTTGCTATCCTCCATGACCATAAAACCTGATATTGTTATTTGTACGGACGAAACTTGGTTGAATGGCAACATATCCTTGATGCTGAGCTTTTCCCGGCTGAGTTTGCCATCTTCAGGAAAAATCGTACTGATGGTTATGGGGGGAGGGTACTGATAGGTGTTAAAATCTCTCGTGCCATCTCCTTGATGACCTTAAAACTGATTCTGTTAGCATCTGCAGTGGGTGCACGTTGAGTGTGGACCAAAGAAAAAGGTGTATGTTGGCGATTTTTACAGCCCAGACTCCTCGCGTGGACCAATGGACATGCTGAACTCATCTCTGTCGTCAGAAACTCCACCAATGTACCAAAGGTAATTGTGAAATCTGGTTAGGAGGATCGAGATTTCAACCTTAATCAGTTGGCCCGATCAGTCAGTTAACTCGGGTAACAATTTTCAGCTCAGTGTAAGAAGTTAATTGATATTTGCAATCTCTTCAGCTTGACCAACTTGAACTAGTTACTGAGCCTACACGCAAGGACAGTATTATAACTCGACAGGTTATATGGATCGACACAAGAGGATGACTTGGGACAAAGTTGTACTGTAGTTGATGTGGTTTATTCGGCTGGCTCGATGTGCGGCTCTCTGCTTAATTGCCAGAACTCATAGGGATTTTATACATTTGCTGGACATTCCATTTTTCATCCATCATACAAGTTTCCTCGCCGTGCATATAGCGTGCATGAATATGTTTGGTTCATTTGGATTTGAGGGTAGGGTTAGTCAAATCATGGAGGAAGGAGGGGATTCTTTCCTCCGTGGTCAAATTAATGAACACTGACTTTTCCTTATGAGGCCGGTGGGCTGCCTCATGACCCATCCGGTCCAGCCCTGCTTTCCTCCCTAAGGGCCTTGTGGTTTAACTAGTCATTCCTTAAGTGAGGCTCATTACTTGGAAAGCGGTTCTACTGTTGAAGGTCGATCCGTGCAATGAACTTAAGTAGCAATACAACATGTGCTATTGTAACATGGTGATAATATCCCGGTGGTCTGTTTCTTACCACCAACCCCGCTGTAGTTGAGCCTGTCAGTGTTTTACCGGGTGTCAGTGACCATTGTATGGTGAAGATATTCGTCAATACAGGTTGAACCATATAAACCAGTTCGGCGTAAGTTTTTTCTTTACAGTAAAGGGAAGTTTGACGATCTTCGTAAACATTTGAAAACTCTTAGTGAAGGATTTCTCAAAGAAATGAAGTGTATCAGTGAATGGTAACTGGATTTACTTGAGAGACTCCCTGAATGCGCTTACTGACAAGCACATCCTTTCAAAGTTTTCTTCAACAAGATACACACTTACCGTGGTTTTCTCCTGCACTCAGTCGCCAAAGCAGAAAGCTCCAACGATTGTTCAACAAACAAAAGAGAACCAATTCTGTCGAAGATTTACGACTTTTAGAAGCACCCGTAGAATGTTCAAAAGAAATCTCAACAGTTGGCACCAGAAGTATATTTCTAGCTGTATGCTTGAGGAAGATCTCCAACAGAATCAAAAAAATTCTGGAAATACCTACATATCCGAGATTGTTGCTGAGGGAATGGAGAAACTTTTGCATGATTTGAATCCTTCAAAGGCCTCTGGGCAGGACAGAATTCGTAACAAAATCCTTAAGGATTGTAGCGAGGATCTGACATCAATACTAGCAGTTTTATTCAACCAATCCTTATCATCTGGCGAACTTCGAGATGACTGGACTACTGCCAATGTTTCTCTTGTCTTCAAAAAGGACAGTAAGAGTGATCCCAGCAATTACCACCCCATATTTCTTACCTCTGTTGGGTGGAAATGCCTTGAACATGTCATTCACTGCCGTATGATGTACCACACTGAACGTCACCAGATCCTAACAGACTGCCAACATGGGTTCAGGAAAAATGGGGGTGTGATACACAACTTCTCCGTCGACAATATCGCCAAGTCAATTGAAAAATGAAAACAGGTGGATGCAATATTTTTAGATTTTTCTAAGGCGTCTGATCGCGTTCCACACGAAAGACTCCTCGTCAAACTTAAGCACTGTAGGATCACCGGCAATGTGTACCATTGGATTTCAACTTTTCTTACAACACGCTCTCAACAAGTTATCTTGGAGGGTGAAAGATCTACAGCAGCACACGTTTTATCTGGCGTGCCCCAGGGCACTGTCCTGCGCCCCCCTGCTGTTTTTCCTCTATGTAAATGACATCCCAACATGTATTTCTCCGAAAACCAGACTGTTGATGACGGATTACCGTATAAAGAAACCAACTCTTCTTCAGATGCTGCCTCACTTCAAAATGATTTAGATGTCCTTTGCGGATGGTAAAAAGAAAGGAAGATGAGATTCGATCCTGACAAATGCTTCGTGTACATGACCGCTGAGAGAAATCCTCAAATTCACGCGTCAGGATCATTTCGGTTTGACTAATACTGGCGATCTGTCAAATCGAGTGGATTGAATGAAGTACAATGTTTTTGCACTCTGTGTCTAGCCTTTTGTTTGCACTCCGGCCGTGAATAAATCAACGGGAAACCGCTTCAAAGCACATCTAGTCACCCCTACCCTGGTCTTATTTTAAGCAACGATTGCAGCCGGTTACCTCATGTCAATCAGGTTGTCACCAACGTCAAGCAGACCACTGGTGTCATCAGGTGGAACTTTAAGTCCTGTAGCAGCTAGCTTAAGTCACTTCTCTATCAATATCTGGTTCGTCCAATATTAGCATAATGGTGTTTGTGGTTGGGCTACCTTCACTGAAGAGGAGAGTAAGAAGCTTTAGGGTATCCAGAGATACGCTGCCAGGATGTGTTGCAACAACTGTACAAGGACCGCCATGATAAAAGATCACGGATGGCCTCTGCTGGAGAAAAGGCAAACCATTGCAAGACTTGCCATGCTTTATAAGATTACCCATGTCCTAGTTGAAGTCCAACATGACCTCAAAACCCAATCCAGAACTCATCGTAGATCTCACCTGT